AATAATACAGTCACCTCCCCCCGGTGTGTGTGTGTGTGGTGTCCTTTACAGAGAACAGGGGTCTCTGTTGACGGTTCAAACACAGCCCGTGGCCCCAGCTTCAAAGGCCCCAATCATCACACCCACTTACAGCCAACGGTGCGTGTCACTTCACGTGGACCGCACCGTTCATCAATTATGGTCCAGCACTGGGACCACAGACCCACAGTCAGTTGTCTTCTTTCCTGACTGCCCCCATCTGGTAACTGCCCCACCAACACCACGGCCTGGGCTTCTTTCATGCCATCTTATCTCACCCCCCCAGAGAGAGAGAGAGAGAGGCACAGTTGGATGTTGCAAGGACTGCTTTCTAAACAGTTGCAGACACACACACACACACACACACAGACACACACTAAGAAAGGACATGAAAACAGCAGTAATGTGAAAAAGATGAGAGAACTCACAGGGAGATGTTGAATACCACACACACACACACACACACACACGGAGGGCCCTGTGTGTGTGTGTGTGTGTGTGTGTGTGTGGATCCCATTCTTCCGTCTGTATTAGACACACATGTCATAACGTTGTTATTATTGTACGACTTTATTTCTGGAGTCTTTTCAAAAGTAAACGTTGGTGTTTCATAATAAAAGAATCCGATTTAAAACTAAAGTCAGACCCAGATTCACCTCTGTTCTATGTTCTGTGTTCTATGTTCTATGTTCTGTGTTCTCTGTTCTGTGTTCTGTGTTCTCTGTTCTATGTTCTGTGTTCTCTGTTCTCTGTTCTGTGTTCTATGTTCTGTGTTCTATGTTCTATGGTCCGTGTTCTCTGTTCTGTGTTCTATGTTCTGTGTTCTGTGTTCTATGTTCTCTGTTCTGTGTTCTATGTTCTGTGTTCTATGTTCTATGTTCTCTGTTCTGTGTTCTCTGTTCTTATGTTCTGTGTTCTATGTTCTGTGTTCTGCTGTGGATCCACTCAGACTGAATAATATTTGGACAGGTGTTCTCTCCTGAGCTGCAGCTGGAATGATGTTTCATAGGAGAATCTTTACCTTAGCTCTGTATACTCTGTACTGCATGAACCCATGCAGTATATAATACAGCATGTACTGCAGTATTATATACTGCAGTACATGCTGTGTATAATACTGCATAAACACAGACAATAAAAGTGTTTAGCATCAATTTTCTTTCACTTTTTAAATGTTTCTCCTGTGGAGGCCACATCTGGAGCACATCTGTATTCTCTGCCTTTGACTCTCTCTCCCTCACCCTCTCTCCCTCACCCTCTCTCCCTCACCCTCTCTCCCTCACATTCACACTGCTTCTCACTCATTCTCTCACCACCACTCTCTCTTCTTGGTGTCTTTTCCTCCCTCTCCTCTGCCTGGGGAAACATGAGAGCTCGGATAATTCTCTCTCTCTCTCCCCCACACTCACCCTCTCTCTCTCTCTCTCCCCCACCCTCGGCGGACCACCCACATTCGGAAACGCCTAGCCAACCCAAAGGCAGCGCCGGCAGCAGTTTGGGAGAGAGAGGCCAAAAGACGTAAGGCCCGGTTCTGACTGACGGTTTTAGCAGAGTACCAATTACATCAATGTCAGAGTCCAAAGCTGAACACAGTCGGCCGCGTCCCGCTCCGCTTCATGCGGCTTGAGTCCTGAGCCTCCTTCCCTTCGCCACGGTTATCTGTAGCCTCTCATTTATGACGTCAGGAAAGACGCGGCAGGTCCAGCCTGTGTACACAGGTTTGTGTACACAAACCTGTGTACAAGTACACAAACCTGTGTACAAATACACAGAGGAAAAAGACAGAAAGACAGAACAGCGTCTTCGAACGGCACCTTTTATTTTTGCTTGGTCAGCACCGCCACGTTTGAAGCTTGTCCATAAACATGAACAATGGCTCCACCTTGTGGCCCTCTGGTGCTAATTCAACTTTAGTGTATTTCCTCTAGTACTGCTTGTTAATGACGTGTTCTTTCTAAACACTAATGTAATTTATTGTATTTAAACTCGAGTATAAGTTTGACTTTAATTGGTCTGCGTGTCATGGTCACGTGTTCAATACAGTCAATAATAATAATAATAATAGGGAGAGTGGGAACATTTGAAATGTGAAGTGTGGTTCTTTGAACATGACACTAAAATACTACTACTGTTTGAAGTACTCTTTCATGTAGTTTTCTGGGTTTTTCTTCTGCTCATCTCAGTGGCCACTGAGCCTACAGTGGCCCCCACTACGCCACCTACTGGCCCTCCAACAAACAGTCCAACCAGGGCTCCAAACAGGGCCTCCCTCCTCACCATCTGTGGCAGCCACTTGAACCAGTCTCTCACCTTCTCCCACAGGCCCCACAGAAAAGGGGGAGGAGGGGGGGGAGGGGAGACGCTGGTGCCTGAAAAGATATGGTCAACGTCCACATCCAGGTGGTCCACGCTCCTCTCTGCTTCTGCTCGCACAGCCTCCATTTCCTCTTCAGTGACTGTTTCTCTTCCCTCTCTCACCAGCTGGTCCTGTCTCTCTCTCACTCCTTCTCCAGCCTCCTGGTACAGAGCACAGCCCACGTGTTGTGTCCCACTCTGACCCACCATCTCATCCACCTTCTTCAGCAGCTCCTCCACAGCTCTCCTCTCCTCCTCCTCCTCTCCACCGCTGCTCTCCAGGGTGTGGTAGCGTCCACCGCACCGCTCCACCAGCTCCAGGAGATCCTTCCTCCAGGTGAGGAGGTACTCCCCCAGCTGCTCGTCCTCCTCCAGCTCCTCGGTGTGTGTGAAGAGCACGATGGTGTTATGGCTGACTGCAGCAGGACCGAACAGCTGAGTCAGCACATCCAGAGCCTTGTCCTCTCCGTCCACGGGTTGGTTGACAGGGACACAGAGCAGGAAGGCATGAGGCCCCGGTGAGGACAAGGTGATGAAGGAGGAGATGTGTTTTCTTCTTTGGTCTGAGCTGCAGTCAGCACTGAACCAGGCTTCACTCTGGACCACGGCAATCTGCCCAGAACAAATCCACAAGTCATTTCAGTTTGACATTCAAGGTTTTGTCTTTGACTGTCAGGGTGAAAACAGACTTAAAGATCTAGAGAACTACTTAGAATTAGGGACGCACCGATCCACATTTTTGAACATTTTGCATATCGGCCGATGGAGTTAGTATAAGGTCAAAAATACAGGAAACCAGGGTAACAGGAGAAATCCCATCCTTGAAACAAATCTGTTACTGTATTGGTTTGAAATTGAACGTTTTATTAACGTCAACATCTGACAACAACGTGGTCATCTGCCCTGACTCCGTTTATTGCTGGCTACATTGACAGTCAGTCAACATGAAGTTCAGCAGTTAGAAAACAGTAATAAAAGGGGCGTGGCCTGTCCTTGGATCGACCTCGTATTACTCTTCTCAGCCAACAGGAGTCTTCAAACGGTCACGGCTGGAATAAAGCCTGCTGCAGCGGAGGTCGCTGAGCTGAGCTGAGTACGAGTACGTACTTCATCTGTCCGGAGTTTTTACCTTACTTTTGGAACGACTCCAGAAGTGACTTCCGGCGGCTCTTTGCGTCTTTCTGTCCCATGACCGCTCACATCCTCTTTGATGTGGAGCTTTTATGTCTGATGAAGTTAGTGGGATTATATGAAGAGACGGTTACAACTCTCCGGATTTCAGCTCTGCAAATATCACTTGTTACTGTGTGGTTTCGGTCGTTTCTGATGTAAAATATTTCCTCACAGCGGACGTATTTCTTTGCAGCCTGTTATCTGGCTGCAAAATGTGGAGTGGATTTCCTGAACTGAACCACGATCTGGTTGAACCACGTTCTGTTCAGGAAAGTGATTCCACAGTTTCCAGTCATCCATCTGTCTGATTCAGACAAGGCTGGAGCTCAGAGATGGTTCGTGGATCAGATCGGCCTCATCCCTAGTTAGAATCTTATACTTATGTTATAGAACGTTACAGTAAAATAGACATCATGTCATATTAAATGGAATACGATGTTGTGGTTTTCATTCTTTCATCTGTTGCTGTTTTGTTTTAATCACACCTCATTGTTGTTACTGTGATGCTAACTTCTCCCACCTGTCTGCCTGCAGCCTCTCCTCTGTGCAGTACAGTGGTGCCTGTGCCCTGCTCTCTGTCTTGCAGGTGTAAGATGGTGCAGGCTGCGGACCTCTTCCCTTCTGTGGGCCGACACAGCGCCACCAGCCGCAGCTCTGGAACAACAGCGATAATGTTCAACCACCACAGTTGTGATCATGTATAAAAGACATCACCAATCTGACACCCTGACCCCAACAATTACCGTAAGTAAACTAGTAGATCCCTAAAATACAAAATTATTTTAAATGTTCAAGAATAGTTTTGGTTAAAAGACAGAAATATTATTTTTTGGCAAAAAGGAGCCAAGAAACCCGGGGGAATTAACTTTAGTCGTTGACGAAGCTAAAAACAAACAAACAATAGGTTTATTTTTGGTAAACGGAACTGTGTCAAACACTGACAAGAAGACGTTTATACAACAACAACAAAAAACAACAACAAGTGAACCTGAGACCGAACAGACTCACTACTCCATCCATGTTCGTTTCAAGTTAGTTTCATAAAGTTCACATGAAGTAGGTTTACTACTATTACGACACCGTCATGAGCAGCTAACAGCTAAACGTAACGGGTGGCCAAACACGGAGCTAAAAGTTAGCATGAAGGTAACATCTGCTGTTCTGGAGATGAAATGTTGAACATCGACATGACACAACAACACGACACGAACTGTTGTTTAGAAAGTACGACTGTAGGACAGTCATGGCAACAGAACAGCCCGCGGCAAGAGACGACGACCCCAACCGACGGACAGGAAGACCGCACCCACTTCACCGTGACACGAGGTTCACAGACAGACAGACAGACAGACCAAAACACAGTTACCTGTGGAAGACATGCTGTTGCTCCTGCTGCTGCTGCTGCTGCTGCTGCTGAGTCACTTCCTGGTTCGTGTAGTCCTGTTCTTGTCAAGTCTGTTGTGATGATTCCGTCTCCCGCTCTGCCACACCCCACACACTCATACTGGTCTGCCTATAGTTTGAAGGACATTGATGAACAGCTGATACAACACGACTCACCCCAAACACGTTCCAGAGAAAAAGAGAAAAAAAAAGTGAAATATGTACAGGGGTCCCCAACCACTGGGCTGCGGACCAATACCAGGCCATGGATCATGTTACCACACAGGAGAACATGTTAACCCAACCCGTGTAGCTACCAGAGATGGAGCAGATGTTCTCACTGTGGTGAGGGCACCAACCACTGCACCACTGGTTGTCACTGTGTTAGAGTAGAGTTTCTTTAACGCATCCTAGACTGGTGTTAGCACTAATAATAATATAGTTAATAATAATTAATTACCTCTTTTTTAACTGATAACTTTAGAATCGTTTGATAAAAAACAGTGAATAAAAAGTCAAATAATTAAAAATGTTAAAATTGTGGAATTAAATTTAAAATAAAAACAAATGAATAAAAAAAGTCATCTTGAAATGAGAGTGTAAAAAGTGGTGTAATCAGAATAATAAGAAGTCCCAGAAGAACAAGGGTCATAATTCTCTCTACAGTTACACCCCACAGCTGCCCCCTGTGGTGGCACCTCAGCCCAGGGGGTTGGGCCTTAACATGACAGATGCCCAACTGTGGACCAGTGTCATTCTGACTCAGTACTGTGAGGTTGGGAGTGCAGATAAAAGTTTCTCTCTCTTTTTTTTTTTTAATTCAATGAAACCCTTGTTTCCTTTTACATGTTTTACCGTTTCTACCCTGCAGAGGGCAGTGTTTGTCAGCGAAAGGCTCACTGGAGTCAGTAGTTGTTAACTATGGTCCAGTCTGTGTCCTGACTATGAATGACGTCACTCCGTCAGTAACCTCAGACAACGTGAGCAGTACCCAGTGAGTACAACAAGTCCTCTGTGCCTCGTCACTTTACACGTCCTCACTTCTCTACGGTGAATGTGACGCCATCATTTACGGAGACGGGAATGTGTTACGTTGCAGTGTGTGTTCAAACGTGTTGACAGGAAGTCATGTGACGTGCTGAAAATAAAGCCCCGGATCTGATGAACAGGAACAGGAAGTGTTTGTCATGAACATTAAACTCCATGTCGGGTCTGAACCGGTTGTCGTTCCCGCTCCAGTGTCGGAACCGTCTGTGGTGTTGGTTCTGCCGGACTTATCTCAGGGTTCCTGACGAAGGACAGCCTTTGAGGGACGGTTGTGCAAAAAAGGAACTTCTGTTCATAGGTGGAGTTTGCGGAGGAGGGCACTGTCTCCCCATTGGCTGAAATATGTCACGACATCGGGTCGATTATATGGTCAATACAAATATTTATTTTAATCGTTAAATTCAATATTTCAATAAAACAAAAGGATTGTATGAAATAAATATGAATCCTTTTATATTTTATTTTGTAATAAATAATACATTTTGAGTAGTCATGTGACATTGTGACGTTGACGTTTCCCTCTCATTTTAGCGTTCGCTCGTTCGTTCATTAACAGGACAGCTAACAGTGATTAGCTAACTACCAAAAATGGATATTCGGCGATTTTTTAAAACTTCTTCAACTACAGCAGTTAAACAAGAACCGCCTGGGCCTTGATGTGACCCGGACCAGGAAACACCCGGGACCAGCTCTGGAATAACTAGCCCAGCTAACTCCACATCACACTTGGCACCGGGGCCGCCATCGGGCTAATTATCCAGCTTGCCCACAGCAGAGCGACCACCGAATGATCTTGGTTAAAATCTCTGCTGTCCCAGTGACCCTGCTCTTCCGGAATTTCATACAAAAATATTTGGAAAGACGAAACGATCACTTACATCGGCATCAGGTATTTAACATGTTTAGGCCTAACGTCTATTCACAACCACACAGTAACAACTGTTGTTGAACATCTGCTAACTGTGATAATAACAGAGTTGAACTTTATGGGAGCCTCGGTACTGTTATATATCTGTATAGGTGTAATAGCCTACGTCACAGAGTAGTTGTAATGTACAGCTGTGTGGACAGTAAAGTGATCATGTGACTTACAGGACACCGGTGTTTCCCTACTGTGCACATGACAATAAACACTTCATGCAGTGTCCTGACGTTAAGATGTTCTGTTTCTTTGTGTCACGGTGAGGCCGCGATCCTTAGACGCAACGAACATGGGCGGGGCTTATCCTCAGTAAATGTAATTAAACATCAGTTATTGCCTCTTGATGAGAAGCTGAGCTGGGATTTCACTGCAGCCTCCTGGGAGTCTCTGCTTCCGGGCCGTGGTTTCACTTCCAGCGGTGAAGGTGTTTGACGTGACTGCGGCGGGACGTGACCTCCGGTGCTGAGTTCTACTGACTCACCTGTTCCACTTCAGAGTGGACAGAACCTAAAACATAAACTTTATTATGATGACAATAACAGTTATATCATCTGAAATATTATCTCCTTTAGTTTGCCCATGAAATACACTTTTTTTCAGTTTTTAATTATCACATGATATAAATACAATTAAAGTAAATTATTAATATACATTTAGATAATATAAAATGTTCAGTCCAAAGTTCAAAACGAAAAAAGCATACATTAAGTGGTTCACTATCAGTGTGGTGTGGAGGTTTTCAATAACTCACCCAACCCACAGTGTCTCCACCTACTGGTCCGGCGGTGGATTTATGGCCCGCGGTTGCAGCAGGCAGCGGCAGCGCACACTCCTCTGAGCTCCGTGCTGCTCTCCTGTGCACTTGTACATATTTAGACGGTGTGTGAGAGTGAGTGAGAGAGAGAGAAGTCAGTTACGGCCCAGTGATTGGGTCTTTTTTTTTCCACTTTAACATTCGTCTTGTAAAACCTTGTGCTTGGCTCAGAGGCACAGGGCAGTAAAAGGGACGGGAGCCAGTGTTTTTCTTCCCTCCACTGAGTGTCTGGCAGCCAAGTCTGGACTGGTGATGTCATCTGTAGGTCCACACTTTCTGTTGGTTTCACCTCTATTATACTGTTGTGGAGCTTCAACCGTCCTGGTCCTGGTCCTGGTACTGGTCCTGGTACTGGTACTGGTCCATGGTCCTGGTAGTGACCATCTGCACTGACACGTGTCCCTCTTGTTCTGTGTCTACACAACTTTGAAATAAGAAAAACGGAGAATTCTAAGGTGATGAGCTGATCGATCATCAAGTTTCTATGGTGTAAGTGCTCCCTCTAGTGGTATGCATAGGAATCAGATTCCCATTATGACAAACGTGCGTGTGGTGTCAGAATTGAATTAATGTGTCATGTGTACTACTACTACTACTACTACCACCTACAGTACAGTATTTGGCTAATAATACTGTAGAACAACGATTCACAAGGTATGGTGCGGGGCCCCCCGGGGGTACACCAGTGTGAGATTAAAAATGTGACGGCAGTTTAGAGTGTTTTTGTAACTTCCACATGATAAAGATGTCAGTAAACATTTCCTTTTTTAAAATCACAAATTTAAAATGTGTGTGTGTGTGTGAGGAAGAGGATGTACCGTATGTTTCCTGTCCATGACTCGTCTTTTATTCAATTTTTTTACATAAACATTTTCATTGGCCGCTGAACTGAGTTTTACCACACAACGCTGGGCTCCTGAAGGCACCGTGTTTCCTCAGCTGGTCGATGACCTTTACTCCACACACTTCTCCCTCTCTTCCGTCTATTTCCTCCTCACCACCGCTGACTGACCCATCTTTCCGCACTGGACCGGGCTGTTAACACCACACACCCTCTGCTGTGAGAACAAGTCAACCTGAATCAAAGGTGACGTTCTCCACAGTTCTTCTGCCCCTCCTCCCCCTCCTCCCCCTCCTCTCACTCCTCTCACTCCAACCAGTTTCTAGTCCTCCGTCTAAGGAAAGCATTCCAAAGTGACTCAGTGCTGCTGTGTGACGCTGGTGGTCTGCCAAGGGTTTTCCAACCACTAGGTGGAGACACTGCTTCTTGAAGCCAATGTTCAGTCGTTAAAGCTGCAGTATGGAATGTTTGTCTTCAATGTTTGGAGTAAATGTTTCTTAAATGACCTTGAATCCTGAAGTGGTGATTCTGATCACAGATGGACAGAGTCTGGGTCGTGACCTCATGACTCATCACATGGCAGGCCTGTGCTCTGTGACTCACTGCAGAGGAATTAAACAATTTTGTTGTAAGGTGATAAAAGGCCAGTGATGTCACACACCCTCCTTCATTTGGATAGTTCTGTCATTTCTGTCTGTGTGTGTGTGTGTGTGTGACAGGTCGTAGCATCAGCAGCTCATTGGTTCCTTACACTGTCCCCTTGTTGTTGTTGTTGTTGTTGTTGTTGTTGTTGTTGTTCTGATGTGAGTCCGTCTCAGTTCCAGCTGACGTTCTCTCCTCACCAGGTGAAACTGTCTCGCAGTTTAACGTCTGCTCTGAGTCTGAACATCGACACACCGTCCTGGGTGACCCGACCCGTCCTGGGTGACCACACCCTGTGTGTCACATGAAGCAGAACCAGCAGAAGTTCTACTTCCTGTTTGTTCTATATTGTTGTGTTTGACTTCATCTGCTGCCACGTCCTCTTCATCCTGTTGGGTTAAACCTGGATCAACATGTCAGAGGTCAGCTGTGGACACTCAGAGGTCAGCTGTGGACACAGCTATATAAGAATCATGTGACTGAACAGTTGTGTCATGAACCAGGATCCAGAGGAGTGAAGTAGAACCACCAGGATGTGTTTTGTCAGATGACATGATGACATCTGAGCTCAATTGAGGAGCCTTCATATCTAGTCGGACACGAGCTCCACTCAGACTTAACTGAACTCAGACTTAACTGAACTCAGACTTAACTGAACTCAGACTTAACTGAACTCAGACTTAACTGAACTCAGACTTAACTGAACTCAGACTTTAACTCAGAGTTTCGTAAGTCCACTTCAAGAACTGGACCCTGGTCTCAGGTTTGGTCTCCCACTCGACCCAGAACTGTCTGGTACCGTTACAGGTCTCTGTGGATGGTCCAGAGCATGGAGGGAAAAATGTCAAAAGAAAAAGTGACTGTGAAATGTAGTGGTGGGTGGGGGAGGGGGGTG